GGTCCTCAAGGGCATTTCTTGCCTGTTACCCTTAAATATACATATACAATATCTTTGAGTTCTTCTGCATGCATTTTGACTCCATAAGGACTGGGAATCAATCCGTAATCTTGTGAGCAGACTACTTCATGGCCAACTCCTTGTTTAAGTCTATATTAGAAACCTGCTATTATCAGCATTTTGGACAAGTGGTATGCCATGCGTGATGTTCGGCCGCCCACAAAAATTGGTGATATACTAAACCAGCGCAAATTTATTTTCGTTCTAAATTCTCTTAAATTTCTTGGATACGTGAGCGATTTGACCCACACAAGCCTCTTCTGCCTAGTTATCCCCATTCCCCTTGAGCTCCTACGGGCTGCATTCAAACGTCAAGCACAGCGAATTCAGTGCCCTGTGACCTTTAACAGCCCCTCCCTTCCGTACTGTTCTGATATAGTTTTGCTATGGACAGAACCTGAGAGATTCATTCAGACTCTTCGCAGATGCCCGTTGTGATTTTTTCAAGGCAAAGTTGTCTTGTTCGACACCAACGTTCTGAATTACACAGCTTCCGACACATTTGATTTGTCCCTGATCGATGCTAGTTTTGCAGCGAGCGCATTTATTCAGTAACACTAAATAGCAAACTGAACCCTTGGATGCCTTCCCATAAATAGTCACCAACCGAATGCCGCTAAACTATAATTGAACTGGAGTTTCTAGCTGTCCGTTTAGCTGTAGGGCTCTTCGGGCTCTCTGTTGCAGGGAAGGACTTCATCATTTTCAGTGATCACCTTCCCTTGCACGTCTTACTTTAGCAAACTCAAACTATGTTACGGCGTCGACTGGCAGTTACGTCCCCATTTCTCCTCGTTATTTTTCAGATAGACAAGTAAGGGTATAGTATGTTTGATGCGCTGTCAAGACCTCCAACATTTTTGCTCAACTGTTTGCCGGAATCGACAGCATAGCAGAGGTTTGCAGGACAGTTCGAGCCTTCTCCCATGCAGACTAATGTATTGAGGGGTCCCAAATCCAGGTTGTCCCTCTAATGATAGATCATGGCACAAAACTGGATGATAATTCTTATTATTCTTATAAACTTCCTGGCCCTACATATCTTTGTCAACATTTCTTTACCGTTTCTCATAATTTTCATCAACCTGCCATCCGAACTGCGATATAGCAGTCGGTGATTTCTGCGGCTTGGCATATAGAAGAGCTTGGCGGTTTTACGAAGGGCTTGCCTCAGTATTTTACGCGGTCAGGTAGTCCGATAAATCCACAGTCCAATCGGTACCCTCTCCATACCCTACATTCTTTTGCACATTTCCATCTGTAAATCGTGGAAAGTTTCTCCTTCGAAAGACTGACTATATCTACTGAAATGAGACTACAGACCACTTTCGTACCCGAAGACCATTTTCATTCCAGGTGAGTCCATCGACTTTGGATAAGGCGCTTTTCTGGCATCGAGTAGCAAACGTTGTGCCCTCTCTTCCAGAGGTAACTGGAATTATGTGGCGAAATCGACTCAGAGTTTAGAATATCCTTCAGGTATCTGGGGTTTACAAAACAGGCTAGACTACTTTCGATTGTCTTTGTGGACATTTGTTAAGCCCTTACATCGATCTTAGCTTCTACGTTATCGAGCTGGTATACTGTGCTATCCTGAGAATGTAAGATGACATAATTATCTCAATTTTTCGTGCTCTCATGATAATTTTTATGACTCCGTTCATGGCATTCACAAATGCATTAGTGCGCTCGTAAATACTAACGCGAACTCTATCGACATGGGTTATATTCAGTTAGGTGACTTCATACATGCATTTTTCTTCAGCATAAATCTTTGATTAAATCAATAGAATCGCCCTATGGAGGAAAATACCGGGGGTCTACCGCAAAGTCATAACCAGTTGGACGATTTAGCTTTCCGTGGACCCAGACCCAACAAAAGTTTGTCTGTAGACATTGCTATCGAAGGGCTGGTTATAAAATTGTCAAAAAAATTCATTTGTATTCCCCTTTACGATTTGCTATATGTACCAGTAATAACCTCTTTATTGACCTGTCTAGATGACACTGCCTTTATGATTTTCTGAGAAAAATCAAGAGGTTCACTGAAAGGGTTTTATTTAATGAGTTCAGATATTGTACGATATTCCCTGATGACAGAACATGTACAAACATCTAACGTACCCTAATAAGCAAGCATTTTCAACGTAAATTCAACATTGTTGAGAAGGCGAGGGCCCCACATGGATGTATTTTTCGCACTTGGCGATCTAAGTCTTTCTGAGTTATTCCATGGCATCAGGGCTCATGCGTACAGAGAGTTTAATTGTAAAAACGGCCTATTTGTTCTGAGAAGATTAACAACGCCAAAGAGGTGATATAACAATAAAAAATATTACTCATTACATGCTTTCAAACCCTTCTGGGGCCGCTGACTTTTTAATTAGTTGGAATTTTGTTCTTTCGTGGTATACTTTAATGTAGGGAGGTAATTACGAGTTCACTTGAGATTCCAGTGGCTTTGTGGGCTTAAGGCCTACAAAGCGTATAAAAGTGCTAGAAAAGTGAAACACAAAATCCTAAACAGTAGTACCTAGCTAGTAGTAACTGAAATACTTCAAACTGCGGCGACAGACAAAAAAAGTAAAATACATAAAACAAGGATATAAAAGGGTATCACTACAGGCTCACGGAGGGCGAACGATCTTCGCCAGCAGTAGCCGGAAAGTCGACTGGCAACGAAGACGGGTTGGCCGAAGTTGCTGGCCACGTTCACTTGTCCATTCCAACAGAAATTGTAATAACGATTGGTAGTATGCTTAAAAGGGGAAGATCTATTTTAGGACCTTTTCAAACACTGTTCAGATCAATCATTAGTCACGCCAAGAATAAAAGGCCCTCAAGGCACA